CCTGCCACCAGACCCCTCCACCCAGCCAGTTGCCACAGGGTGGGTAGCAGGTCAGGGGTCCCCCTCCACTTTCAGGAATGGAGGGAGGCACCCACATTGGGAAGCTGGAGGGAAAATCTTACCGTTTGTCCGTCTGTCTCTCTATCCTGGCTCTCTCTGCCCTCCCCCACTGCCCATCTTGATCCTCTTTCCCTGTCTCTGTCTTCTTTCTGTTTCTCTCTATCTCTCCTTTGTCTTTTCTCTCTTTCCTCCCTTTTCTGTCTCTGTTTCTCACTGGGCTCCCTCCCGCTCCTCTGCCTCTGCCCCTCCATGCACCCCACCCCCCCCATCAGACTGTGGCCTCCAGGGCCCCTCCAGTCGCATCGTGGGTGGGACTGTGTCCTCAGAGGGCGAGTGGCCATGGCAGGCCAGTCTCCAAGTCCGAGGCAGACACGTCTGTGGGGGAGCCCTCATCGCTGACCGCTGGGTAATAACTGCGGCACACTGCTTCCAGGAAGACAGGTGAGGCAGGTGTGGGGCCTTGGGCGGCAGGTAGAGAAGGCCACGACAGGATGCTCTGAGGGGACAGAAGAAGGGTAGGGTAAGCCCAGGATGGCAGTTATGGGGGTCTCGTTGTAGATTCACCACAAACCCACTCTGTGGCCCTGCACAGGTTGCTCAGTTGGGCCTTTTTCTTCAGTCTGGCTCCAAGGTTCATTCATTAATCCCCTCGGGCTTCTGTACTAGGGTATGCCCTAGATGCTAGAGATACAGTAGAGAACAAGGTGGACAAATGCTCCTCCCAACCTGGGTTATGAGCCATGACCCCACCCCTAAGGGGGACTGCCCTGTGCAGGTGGTGGGCCATCTCATTCTGCCTTTAGGTATCTTCCTCATCTTCATGGTGGACTGACTTCATGTCCACCCACCCACCCAAGCCAAATCTCTGGGCCTCTCAGGTTCCTCCCTCAGCACAGCCAGCCTTGGGCTCGTCCTCTCCCCATCTCCTCCATTCTGGGTCCTGATCAGAGACAAGGTCTCCCCAGCCCAAGGCACAGGGCACCCTCTCTTCTTCCCATACACATTCTTTCCATTGTGTGTGCCAAAACCTGTGTAGGGTTTCCAAGGCTGCAAATCTTTATGGGAGCAGAAAGCCTCATCTTTCTCTCTGGTGGATTTGAACTGCTAATCTTACAGTAGTAGCCCGGTCCTTATTGCCACCATCCCTGGGATCACTCTGTCAGCCCAGAGGCCACACTCTCTCTTGCATCTGTTCGGGTATCATCTAATGATGGCATTCTTGAACTCCACCCCTGGCTCCCCAGGGCCATGGAAGGAAAGAAAGGCCTGAATGCAGACCAGACATCTGCTGGTTCCTCCCCACAACCCCACCCCTTCCTGTGGGAATGAACAGATCTCCAAGAGCTCATGTCTATGCAGTGTTCAGAAGAAAACAGAGCTTGGTGAATGCTCACACTTTACAGGTTCTCTACATGTTGCTGTTGTTGTTGTATGCCATCAGGGTGTTTCTCACTCCCAGCGCCCTGGATCACAGGGCATCTAAGGCGGTCATTTTTACAGAAGATAATCACCAGGTCTTTTTTCAAAGGAGCAGCTGGTGGGTTCAAACCACCGGCCTTGAACAAGTGAGCAAAAACCACTGTACCACCAGGGCTCCTTGCTGTTAAGTGCCCTCAAGTCAGTTCTGACTCACAGCGTTTCCTGTACAGGGGTTCCAAGGAGAGGTTGGTGGATTTGAACCACCGACCTTGTAGTTCGAGCCGCCCTGCAGTCCAGCGCTTATCTACGATGCTGCACCGGGACTCCACAATTCTTTACATAAGTGCTCTTAACTGAATTCTCCCAGGAAAATATAAGTCGAAACTGTTCGGCCCATTTCACAAAGAAGGAGAGCTGAAGCTGGGGTTGGACGCCTGGCATTGAGGAGGGAGGGGTGGGTGTGGAAGAGGGGAGCTGATGTCCCAGTTGGGGATGGTGGCTATCACAGCCCGAGAGGCCGCAGCTAAACAAGTCCCCCTCCTGCTCCCAGCATGGCCTCTCCGGCACTGTGGACCGTGTACCTGGGCAAGGTATGGCAGAACTCACGCTGGCCGGGCGAGGTGTCCTTCAAGGTGACCCGCGTGTTCCTGCATCCGTATCACGAAGAGGACACTCATGACTACGACGTGGCGCTACTGCAGCTCGACCACCCGGTGGTGCGCTCCGCCGCTGTGCGCCCCATCTGCCTGCCGGCTCGCTCCCACTTCTTCGAGCCGGGCCTACACTGCTGGATCACTGGTTGGGGCGCCCTGCGTGAGGGCGGTGAGTGAAATGGGGTACTGCAGCCCCACACAACATCCGGGACTGTAGGGGGCAGGGCTCGGTCCTCCTGGGGTTAAATTGGGTTGGGTCCTCAAGGGAACAACAACAACAAAAAAAAAAAAAACCTTGCAATTTGACCTCTCCTCCTGGCTTTCCCTTCTTTATGGAAGGCCATTTAGGGGAAGCCATTTTGGAAGTTATGCATTGGGGTCAAGGGTCAGGTCAGGGATGCCACAGTGCACACCAGCTCTGCCCTTCCTTCTTCTCCTTGAACATTTGGGGAGGAGAGGAGACCCATTCAATACTAGCCTTGGATTTTGAAGCCGCATGCGTTCACTGAATCCACCCAATCATCTTGGGGAATGGGTATCATGGCCCCATTTTATGGTAGGGAAAACTGAGACTCAGGGACACTTAGCAAGTGCTGAAAGTTACACAGCTAGACTGTGTTGGAGCAGAGACTGCTTGGTACCAAAGCTACTGCTCTTTCTGCTATTGCCTCTCAAAAGCAAAGAGTCTCTCTCCTTTTCATCTGAACTGACTACATACAGTAGCTATCCCTAGAAGTCATTCCGATTTCCTGAGTCAAAAAAGCCCAAATCCTAGAACCTTAATTGTTGTTGTTTTTAAGTGCCACAGAGTCGATTTTGACTCATAGTAACCCTGTGTAGGGTTTCCAAGGAGTGGCTGGTGGGTGTGAACCGCAGACCTTGGGGTTGGTAGTTAGGAGTCAGTTCCAACTTAAAGTGACCCTGCATAGGGTTTCCGAGGCTAAACATCTTTACGGGAGCAGAACGTCTCATCTTTCTACTGCGGAACAGCAGGTCGTTTCGAACTGCTGACCTTGAGGCTAGCAGCCCATCTCATAGCACCTGTGCTACCAGAGCGCCTTTTAGTAGTCCAGTGCTTATCCTATAGTGCCACACCAGCACCTGAGTACCAGTGGTAACTTAAAAATGTGTGCATAATTCATAATGTGTTGGCAGATGAGACGGTGGAGATACTGGAAAGATGAAAAAACGGAGGCTCAGAGATGGGAAGGGCACTGGAATAGCAGCAAAGCAAAGATTGGCTTCTTCATTCATTCATTTATTCATGCATTCATTCAACCACATGCTTAGTGAGCAGCTACTATAAGTCTCAGTCCGTCAGTGTGTTCTCGTGTGCTGGCTTGGGGGCTGCTGCAATGCTGGAAGCTATACCACCAGTATTTCAAATACCAACAAATACCACCTGTATCACACAGGTTTCAGTGACGCTTCCAGACGATGACAGACTAGGAAGGAGAACCTACTGAAAAACTTGCCTAGTGAATACTTTTAGAAGCAGAACATTGTCTGGTACTGTGCCAAAAGCCAAGCCCCTCAAATTTAAGTGGGGAAGAAGTTTGCTTCTTCAAAGTAGAGCCAACCTCAATGATACGGATGGAGTAAAGCTTTGTTGTTGTTGTTAAGTGCAGTCAAGTTGGTTCTAACCCATATCGTAAAGGGTTTTCAAGTGGTTTGAATCGCTGACCCTGTGGTTCAAACCAACCTTATGGTCTAGTGCTTTATCCCACAGCATCACACCAGGCCTCTGTAGTAAAGCTTTGTTGTTGTTGTTAAGTGCCTATGAATAAAGGTTCCAACTCATAGCAACCCTGTATAGGCTTTCCAAAGAGCAGATGCTGAGCTTGAACCACTGACCTTGCGGTTCAAACCAACTTTTCAGTCCAATGCATTAACCCACATTTGCTGATGGGGCACAATTCAAAAAGAGGGAAAAAAACAAACATCTACAAACATCCATCAATAATTGGAATGTGGAATGTACGAAGTATGAATCTAGGAAAATTGGAAATTGCCAAAAATGAAATGGAAACATTAAGATCGATATCCAATTTATTAGTCAGCTAAAATGGACTGGTTGGCCATTTTGAATCAGACAATGATATGGTTTGCTTTGCTGGGAATGACAAATTGAAGAGGAATAGCGCCTTCAATGGCATCTTCATCATCAAAAATAACATTTCAAGATCTATCCTGAAGTACATTATCAGTGACAGGATAATATGTACATGCCTACAAAAAAAAACAGTTAATACAACTATAATTCAGATCTTTGCACCAACTGCTAATGTCAAAGATGAAGACATTGAACATTCTTACCAACTTCTAAAGTCTGAATTCGATCAATCATGCAATCACTATGTATTGATAATTACTGGTGATTGGAATGTGGAAATTGGAAACAAAGAAAAAGGATCAGCAGTTGGAAAATACAGAAAATATAGAAAGGACACTGGAGATGAAAGATTGCATGATTAGAATTCTGCAAAACCAACAACTTGTTAATTGCCAACGATTTTCAACATTTTCAGCACTGTAAATGGTGACTATACACATGGAACTCATCAGATGTAATACACAGAATCAAATCGAATGCATCTATGGAAAGAGATCATGAAAACACTAACCCCATCAGTCAGAACAATGTCAAGGGCCAATTGCAAAACAGACAGACCGTTGATTGCTCATGCACAAGTTAAAGATGAAGCTGAAGAAAATTAAAACAAGACCACAAGAGCCTAAGTATGGCTTTGAGTATATTCCACCTGAATTGAGAAACCATTTCGAGATAGATTTGACACATTGAACACTAATGACTGAAGACAACACAAGTTGTGGGATGACATCAAGAACATCATATATAAAAAAAACAAAAGGTCATTACGAAGACTGGAAAGAAAGACGAAAGCAAAGTGGATGTCATAAGAGATTCTGAAATTTGCTCCTGGACATAGAGTAGCTAAAGCAAATGGAAGAGATGAAGTGAAAAACTCAACAGAAGATTCCAAAGGATAGTGTGAAGAGACAAAGTAACATAGTATTATGAAATGTGCAAAGACCAGGAATTTGTTGTCATTGTTGTTAGGTGCCATCCAGTTGACACCACTCATAGTGACCTTGTACACAACAGAATGAACTATGCAACCCATACCAAAGGTTGTGCTCTTTGACCTTCATTAGTAAGAATTTTAAGTCCTCTTCACTTTCAGCAAGCAAGGCTTGTTCCATATCACAGGTTGTTAATGAGTCTTTCTCCAATCCTGATGCCATGTTTTTCTTCATATAACCCAGTTTCTCGGATTATTTTTTCAGCATACAGATTGAATAAGTATGGTGAAAGAATATAACCCTGGTACACACCTTTCCTAATTTTAAACCATTCAGTGTTCCCTTGTACTGTTCAAACAACTGTCTCTTGGTCTATGTACAGGTTCCTCATGAGCACAATGAAGTGTTCCAGAATATTCACTCATAGTTCACAATGTTGTCCAGAGTTAGTCGTAATCCACACATCGAAAGCCTTGCATAGTCAATATAGCACAGGTAAACATCTTTCTGGTATTCTCTGCTTTTAGCCAAGATCCATCTGATGTCAGCAATGGTATCCCACTTTCCATGTCCTCTTCTGAATCCGGCTTGAACCTCTGGAAGTTCTCTGTCAATGTATGCTTGCAGCCATTTCTGTATTACGTTTAGTAAAACTTTACTCGCATAGGATATCAAAGATATTGTCTGATGATTTCCGCATTCTGTGGGTCACCTCTCTTTGGAATGGGCACAGATATGGATCACTTCTAGTCACTTGGGTAGGTAGTTGTCTTCTAAACTTCTTGGCAGAGATGAGTGAGTGCCTCCTGTGCTGCTTCACTTTGTTGAAAGATTTCAATTTGTATTCCATCAATTCCCAGTGCCTTGTTCTTTGCCAATTCCTTCAATGCACCTTGGACGTCTTCCTTCAGGATCATTGGCTCTTCATCATATGCTACTTTTGAAATGGTTGAACACCCACCATTTCTTTATTATTATTATTTATTTATTTTTAAATGTTTATTGTGAATTATGTGATAGTTTACATGGGAGAACATTAGCTTTACATTCATCCTATTGTATATTGTTTCATTCCCGTGGCTACAACCCCTTTCACATGCATCATCAACCAACCAAGGGGTATACCCGGTCATCAGCACACAGCCCCTCTCACTCTCTGGGTCTAGAGTCCCCAACCCCACCATTTCTTTTTGGCATAGTAACTGTGTATTCCTTCCATCTTCTCTTGATGCTTTCTGCATCATTCAATAATTTGCCCAGAGAATCTTTCAATATTTCAAATCGAGGCTTGACTTTTTTCTTCACTTCCATCAGGTTGAGAAATGCTGAGCATGTCCTTCCCTTTTGGTTTCCTGACTTCAGGTCTTTGCACATTTTGTTATAACATTTGACTTTGTGTTCTCGAGCTGACCTTTGAAATTTTCTGTTCAGCTCTTGTACCGCCTCACTTCTTCCATTTGCTTTAGCATCTCTACACTGGAGAGCAAGTTTCAGTGTCTCTTCTGACATCCATTTTGGTCTTTTCCTTCCTTCTTGTCTTCATAATGACTTGGCTTTCTTCCTGTCATGTTCTTGATGTCATCCCACAACTCTTCTGGTCTTCTTTCTTTAGTGTTTAATGTATCAAATATTTTCTTCAGATGATCTCTAAATTCAGGTGGGATATATTCAAGGTTGTATTTTGGCTCTCATGGACTTGTTTTCATTTTTTTCAGCTTCAGCCTGAGCTTGCATATGAGCAATTGATGGTCTGTTCCATAATCTTCCCCTGGCCTTATTTTGCTGATGATATGGAGCTTTTCTGCCGTCTCTTTCCACAGATGTAGTACACTTGATTTCTGTGCATCCCATCTGGTGAGGTCCATGTGTATAGTCATCTTTTATGTTGTTTAAAACAGGCATTTGCAATGAACAAATCTGTCTTGCAGAATTGTATCATGTGATCTCCAGCATCGTTTCTATTCCCAAGGCCATATTGTCCAACCACTGATCCTCTTTGTTTCCAACCTTTGCATTCCAGTCACCAGTAATTATCAATCCATCTTGATTGCATGTTTGATCCATTTCAGACTGAAGAAGTTTGTAGAATTCTTCAATGTCATTATCACTGGCTTTTGTGGTTGGTGTGTAAATTTGGATAATAGTTAGTTGGGCTACCTTGTAGGCATATGGACATTATCCTATCACAGACAATGATGTTTTTCATGACTGATCTTGATATGTTCTTTTTGATAATGATTGTGACACCATTCCTCTTTAACTTGTCATTCCTGCCATAGTAAACCATGGGTTGTCTGATTCAAAATGGCCAATTTCAACTCATGAATGCCTAGGATATTGATGTTGATGTGTTCCATTTCATTTTTCAGTTTCCCATTTTCCTAGATTCATACTTCATACATTCCATGTTCCAATTTTCAGTGGATGTTTACAGCTATTTCTCTTCATTTTGAGTTGTGCCCCATCAGCAAATGAAGGCTCCGAGGGCTTTATTCCCATGGGCTTTACTACATTCGCGTCATCACAGTTAACTCTACTTTGAGGAGAAAGCTCTTCCGCAGTTGCATTTTGAGTGCCTTCCAACCTGAGGGACTCAACTTCTGGCACTATAGCTGACAGAGTTCCACCACTATTTATAAGGTTTTCAGTGACTAACTACTCGGAAGCAGTTCATCTCCCCTTCCTAGTCTGCCTTCACCTGGAAGTCCATCTGAAACCTGTCCACCGTACATGACCCTACTGGTATTCAGAATACCCATGGCATAGCTTCCAGAATCACAGCAACTCACTAGCCACCACAGTACGACAAACTGACATATTATAATGAAATGTACAAAGTCCTGGAGTTAGAAAATCAAAAGGGAAGAACATGCTCAACATTTCTCAAACTGAAAGAACTGAAGAAAAAAAATCATGTAATATTGAAAGATGAGGCTTTTTGCTCCCACAAAGTTTTACAGCCTCCAAACCCTATACAGGGTTACCATGAGTTGGAACCAATTTGATGGCACTTAACAACATGGGCAATATACTGATCGATGGAGGAAACATCAAAAGATGATGGAAGGAGTACACACAGTCACTGCACCAAAAAGAATCGGTTCAACCTTTTCTAAGGGTAGCATATGATCAAGAACCAATGGTACTGAAAGAAGAAATCCAAGGTGCACTGAAAAGCACTGGTAAAAAAATCAGGCTCCAGGAATTGACAGAATACCAACTGAGACGTCTCAACAAATGGTTACAATGCTACAAGTCCTGACCTGTACCCAAGAAATTTGGAAAACAGCTACATGGCCAAGCAACTAGAAGAGAGCCATATTTGTGTCCATTCCAAAGAAAAGTGACCCTACAGAATGCAGAAATTATCTAGCAGTATCATTACTACCACACACAAGTAAAAATTTTGCTTGGTAATTAAAGATATTTCAAAAATGGTTGCAGCAATACATCCACAGGGAGCTGTCAGAAATTCAAGCTAGATTCAGAAGAGGACATGGATTGAAGAATAGCATTGCTGATGTCAGATGGATCTTGGTTGAAAGCATAGAATACCAGAATGATGTTTACTTGTGTGTTATTGACGATGCAAAGGCATTTGACTGTGTGGACCATGATTGGGTGGATAACATTGTGAAGAATGGGAATTCTAGAACACTTACTGTGTTTCTGCAGAAAGTATCCATGAACTGGACTGTTGGATAAGCACTGGACTGCAAACCACACAGTCAGCAGTTCAAACCCACCAGTTGCTCCTTGGAAACCCTATTAGAGGGTCACTCTGATTCAGAACTGACTTGATGGCACTTAACAACAACATACACGGACCAAGAGGCAGCTGTTTGAACAGAACAAGAGGGCACTACATGGTTTAAAATCAGAAAACATGTCCGTAAGGATTGTATTCTTTCTGTAAACTGAGGAAATCATCTGAGAAGCTGGACTATAGGAAGACGAATTTGGCATCAGGATTGGATGATGGTTTACTAACAAGCTGAAATATACAGATGACACAGGTTTGCTTGCTAAAACAGAAGAGAACTTGAAGACCAAAGACCACTACCTTTAGTTCAGATTACAACTCAAGACAAAAATCCTCACAACTGGACCTTGCGACAGCATGATAACCAGAGAAAGACTGAAGTTGTCAAAGATTTCATTTTACTTGGATTCACAAACAATGCTCATGGGAGTAACAATCAAGAAATCCAACAATGTATTTGCTGGGCAAATCTGCTACAAAAGACCTCTTTAAAGTGTTAAGAAGCAAAGATGTCACTTTGAGGACTAAAATGGCACCTGACTCAAGCCATGGTATTTTCAGTTGCCTCGTGTGCATATGAAAGCTAGACAATAAATAAGAAAAATTGATGTCTTTGGATTGTGTTGGTAAAGAATATTGAATAGAACATGGACTTCCAGAAGAACACATAAATCTGTCTTGGCAGAAGTATAAGAAAAATGGAGAATGGGGAGACTTTGTGTCACATACTTTGGTCAAGTTATCAGAAGGGACCAGTCTCTGGTGAAGAGCATCATGCTTGCTTGGTATTGTCAAAAAGGAAGATCTCAAAGAGTTGGCTACAACAATAGGGTCAAGCAGAACCAGGATTGTGAGGATGGTGGGGGACTGAGCAGTGTTTCGTTCTATTGTTTGTGGGGTTGCTATGAGTCCAAACCAACTTGACTACACCTAACAACTGTATGCTGAGCATAGAGTTGTTGTTAAGTGCCATCGAGTCAGTTCCAACTCATAGCTGCCCTGTATAGGGTTTCCAAGGAGCAATTGTGAATTTGAACTGCCGACCTTGCAGTTCAAACCGACTTTGCAGTTGAGTGTTTATCCTACAATGAATTAGGTGTGGCGTTGTGGGTTAATATGCTAGACTGCAAAGCCGTGTGAACTGCAAGGTCAGTGGTTCAAGCTCACCAGCTGCTCCTCAGAAACCCTATACAGGGTTGCTATGGGTAGGAACTAACTCGACAGAACTTCACAACAACAAAAGATGAAAAGGTAACATTCTTGAGGGCGATGGTGATGAGAGCTGGATAGGGAGGTACAGAGGCTCCCACCCAGGTGGGTCAGGGAGGATTTCCTGGAGGAGGGAGTGTCTAAGCTGAAGAGAAATCAGCATTGACCAGACTAACAGGCAAGGTACCAAGACAGGCACACCCAGCTCCATCAGGGTGTGCTGCAGTAGCCCGGGTGAGGGTCAGAGGGAAGAAGAGGTGGGCAGGGCCTTGCAGGCCCCTGTGAGGAGCGTAGGCTGGGGCTCTGCACCTGAGGATCACTGAGAAACATACTGGTGCCTGGGCCCCACCTCACACAAGTTAGACCAAATCTCTGGCAATGGGACAGAGAGTGGGGAGTCACTGAAGGATTTTACGGGGAGAGATATGGAGTCAGATGTCTGACAGGAAAGGTCCCCCAAGGGTAACAATGTAGAGGGGAGCTGGCAGGAGTCCAGAAGCACAGCTGGTCCTATGTGTTAACATGTCTCCATGTTAACCATGCATAGAAGGAGCTGGAACCAGGTGATAGTGGGCCCGAGAGGTAGTGGGTGGGCAGAGCTTGAGAGATGAAGCGGGCTCCAAGATGCAAGGAGAATGGGGGAAGGAAGCCTGGGTGGAGTTCCTGGGCACCTCTTTTCACCTCTCACCTCTGCCCCCCCGCCCCCCCGACTCCACGGAGCAGGCCCCACCAGCAACGCTCTGCAGAAGGTGGACGTGCAGCTGATTCCCCAGGATCTGTGCAGCGAGGCCTACCGCTACCGGGTGACACCGCGCATGCTCTGTGCTGGCTACCGCAAGGGCAGGAAGGACGCCTGTCAGGTGACTCCCGGGGTGACCCTCACATCATCCAGGGCCTGGACCTTTGCTCACAGCAGCCTGCTGATGTCTCAGAGTTCCCATAGGAAGGTGTGGGTGGCTGTCCCATTTACAGATGAGGAAACTGAGGCTTAGACTGGCTGAGGGACTTGCCTAAGCCCGCTGAGTGACAAATCAGAAGAGTGCCTGTGATGGACAGAACTTGAGTACAGACCCAGCTCTGCTTTTTGCTAATGTACTTGCCTAAGGCCACAGGCTAGTAGAAGAAAGGAGAGGCATCACCTACAAGAGAGAGGTACTGGGACAAACATCCATGGTTCCAAGACAGTCCTCATGAAGTCAGGCCAGCAAGGATGGCATCCCAGTCAAGATTCACCAGATTAAAAGAATCTATATGTATATATGGAGGGTTGGATCTTAAGGAATTGACTCACATGATAAGGGAGGCTGTCAACTTTGAGAATTGTAGGGCAGGCCAGCAGGCAGGAAATTCAGGCAGGATTTGTTTCAATCCTGAGGCTAGGAAACCTGTTTTTGCTCTTTAGATCTTTAACAGATTGGATGAGGCCCACCCACATAATGGAGGGGAGTCATCTTTACTTAAAGCCAACTGATTATAAATGTTACATCTACAATATGCCTTCAGAGCCACATGGTGTTTGACCAAACAGCCCAGCAAAGGTGACATGTGAAATTAATAAGAGACATGTCCAATCAGGACTGGAGCCCATTGGCCTGACCTGCGTGGTGAGACCCTAACACATTGACCTTTTCTCTCCTCTACAGGGTGACTCAGGCGGCCCTCTGGTGTGTAAGGAGCCCAGTGGCCGGTGGTTCCTGGCAGGACTGGTCAGTTGGGGCTTGGGTTGTGGCCGGCCCAACTACTTTGGTGTCTACACACGTATCACAGGCGTGATTGGCTGGATCCAGCAGGTGCTGAAATGAGGAGCCACCTACTTGCAAAGCTGGGACCCACCCCTTGAATTCAGAGAGCCAGGGCACCCATCAGGTGGGGGAATAAGTATTCTGGGGGGTGAGAGGCCCCATCCGCTTCCTTCTGTCTGTCTGCTCCCAGGAGGACACAGCAGGGTGCTCCCCACTAATGGCCAGCAATCTCCTAAGGGCCTAGGATAGACAGCAGGCCTGGCTGGGTGGTCATATCCAGTCCTATGCCACCCACTCCATGCCCTGGCCCACATCTTCTCAGTCTCTCTTTCTCCTCTGCTCACCCCATCTTCGAGGAAAAACAGTTCAGCAGGATGTTGCTGGCCACCAGTACCCAGTAATCCAGCTGCTTGGACAGTGTACACTTTCAGCTTTCAGACAGTGAACGCTCTGGGCTGACATGAGGTAGAGGAGGAAGGGACCCTCAGAGGCCTCAAGACAGCCATGTGGACCAGCTGCCACCGAAGCCAAAGGTGGGGACCCCAGGCCCAGGTCCTCACCCCACTTCTATCTGCCACCCGGGTCTCCACTGCCCAGACTCTCACCTCGAGGCGAGCTAGGCCATCCTGGGGAATAAAGCTGCCTGAACCAAGATCTGCCTGTGGTTTTGAATGGGAACTCCTTACCCTCGATGGCATCAGACCCTGCTTCCTGCCCAGCCTGCTTGAGAGAGGCCAGTAGGTTGGTGGCGGAAGGGGTGGTGGAGGAGAGCTGAGCCTCCAGGGCAGCTGTGGGGGCTCCGGAAGAATCGCCAGCAATCTACTACCCCTCTAGTAAAGGGGGGGCGGGCAAGTGACAGGCTTCTGGGATCTTGGGAGGTAGGTAGCTCCAGAGAGATGCAGGGACCTCCTCAGGACAGCAATTGTGGGGTGGGACAGACATCTGGTGTGGGCCCGGCTCCTGGGGCTGTCCACTACTGTCCCCTTCTGCACTACACTTGAGTTACTTATCCCACGGCAGTGTGTGGGGGTGAAGGGGTACTGTTGAGAGCATATGGTTGAAAGAGCCCATAACTCACTGGGTGAGGGTGGGGTGAGGAAGGAGGTGCCATACAGGGTGACACCTCAGTGTCCTCCCTGCCCTGGGGGCTCTGAGGAGGTACAAGCTCCCGTGTTGAGTTTGGGATGTCACGGGACCTCCCAAAGAGTGAGGTGCAGAAGGCAGGCTGGAGCTTAAGAGAAGGGGATTTCAGAGACCATGCTGCCTGGGAAGCTGACAACGCTCACGTCGAGGGTGGCTGGGTGTCATGGGGACAGAGGCACTTCGCAGATGGAAGACAAGGATAGGCAAGAGTTCTGCTCAGCACAAGGTACAGGGCGGTGGCTAAGGGGAGTGGACTTAGAAGGGTGGAGTCTCAGTAACCAAGGGGGTGTGGTCAGTGCAGAGACAGGAACCAAACATGAGAACTACAACCCTTTCTTGACGCCCTACTGGAAGGAGGCGGGAGTACCTCAGAGATCTCCTTCTTGTTAAGTGCCAGTTCAGTCATTTCTGACTCATAGCAACCCTGTATAGGGTTTCCAAGGAGCGGCTGGTGAGTTTGAACCACTGAACTTACAGTTCAAACCCACCTTGCCTGTCTGCGCATTATCCCACAATGCCACACCCGAGATCTCCTGTTGTTAAGTGCCATGGAGTTGGTTCTGATCCAAAACGACCCTGTATAGGGTTTCAGAGGAGCAGCTAGTGAGCTTGAACTGGCAACCTTGCAGATCAAACCGACTTGGCAGCCCAGCACATGAACCCACAGCACCTCTCCGCGGGAAGGTTTATTTCTATCTGGTACAGCCCCCATCAATGGGGCATCCAAGGCCCAGGAGTTAGGGTAGCCTGGCCGCAGGGAGCTGGACATCAGGGTGATCACTGGGGCTGGACGCACCTGAGGGTGGAGGAAGGATGTTAACAAACCCCACCCGGTGGCTCTCTTGGTCTTTATAAGATAGACAGGGACTGAAATCACTGTGGGTATTTTGTGAAAATACAGTTTTCTAGGCCCTGCGTTGTATGATGTTAAATGCCCTCAGCTTGGTTCTGACTCACAGCAACCCTTATAGGGATTACAGGAGCAGCTGGTGGGTTTGAACCACAGACGTCACAGTTAGCAGTCCACCCACTCTAAATTAATCAGCTTAACAAGTTACCTGTTTGAACCCACCAACGGTTCCTGGGAGATAGATGTGGCAGTCAGCTTCCATAATGGCTGTTGCGCCATAGAGTTGGTTCAGACTCGTAGCAGACACAGATTTGTAAGCAGTTCTACTGTCTTACAGGTTGTTATAAATCAGCAACAACTCAAAGACAATGAGTTTAGTTTTCAATGGGTGGGGGTGTAGGGTGGTAATCTGTTCTGGTAACAATCCCTCCTCTCCCAAGCCTGTCTTCAGCAAGTGAGGTCAACTTTGGAAAGTGAGGCAGAATTATCACTGTGTTCTAATGGACCAGGGAGCTGACGAGCGAGCCCCAAGTAGAGTGGAGAGGCTAGGGTCCAGGCTGGCAGGAGAGAGAAGCCGAAGGGCCCAGCAGCTCCGAGAGGGTATAGGGAAGGCTTGGCTGTTTACACCTCTGAGGACTTGGGGCCTGACCAGACATGAGTGGCAGGGGAGGGGAGGGGCACGGCAGGAAGAGTGGAGGTAATCAGGAGAGTTCTTGAAGCTCAGAGTTATGACTGGGGAAGGCCAGGTCTCCTGATTCTGAGGTGCTCGAGTGCCCAGCCCCCTTGGGCTCACATTGGTCCTGCTGCAGGACTCCAGGGCAGTGGCCCTGACATCAGTTGGTGTGGCTCATTTTACAGTTAGGGAAACAACAGGTCTCTCAGAAAATGTGAGATCTCATGGTCTGGCCCCTCGGCTACCCATGGAGTCTGCCACTGGGAAGTAGATGTGGGCATGTCCCCACACACCCCAACTCGAGAAAGTTACAACCCCACAAGCTCTTGGGGATTTAGGCCCATCTGCCCCACCTTGAGTTTATCCCCTTTCCCCAAGAGTGGCCCAGAGAAAGAGGGGAGGCAGCCGGGGCAGGCTGTTTCTTCAGGTTTTATTACATGGTGGAGTCAGACACAATTGAGAAGCAAGTACCCATCCCAGAAATCACTGCAGGAGGGGCCCTCGGCCCTGCTATTCCCAGAGTCTCCCCTGAGCAGAGGGAGGAGGGCCCCCTTCCCCACATCCCAAGTTCCTGAGTCGCTCACTAGCCCTGCTGTTACATGCTGCCCCAGCCAAACCTGACACCATTCACCCATATCAGCAGTGTCCTGTAGGGTTCAGGCCTGTCTGGTGGGTTCCCAGGGCAGGATGAAGGGCACCCCTCTCTGCACCCTCACAACAACCCTGTGAGGTAGGTGGGGGAGGAGTTACCTGGCTGAGACACAAGGAGACTAAGGCTCAAGGAGGTGACAAGACCGGGCCAGGAGGCAGCACAGCCGCCATGCAACAGGGGACTCTGGGGGCGGGGACACACAGCTGGATGGAGCCACACCTGGGCCACCAGCAGGGGGCTCTGCCCAGGGGCCCCAGGGCCCACCTCAGGGCTCTGGAGGGCCCAGCAGACCCCCACAGGTGCAGAAAGAAGTGGCAGGGGGGAACACACTGCCTCTGCCTTGGGCCTGTGGCCCACCCCATGGTACAAAAAGAAAGGATTTCAGATGGGAACCCCAAGTCCCTGGAGATGATCTGAGGTCTCACATCCGGGTACCTCTGTCTTGTAACAGCTAGAAAATAAGAGGAAAAGGACAGGGGGCAGGGGTGGGTGGTCAGAAAACCGGGAAGGGGGTTGAGGGGGCAGGCAGTGGAGAAGGGGAGAGAGGAGGTTGAAATGGAAGAAGGGAATGGGGAGAGAGGGAGAGAGAGAGAGAAACAAGTAAGTTACAGTGTCTTCAGGAGCAGGCGTGGGGCTGAGGCCCACAGAGAGGGAGTCAGAGTCCACGGGGTGGGCAGGAAGGAGACGCCCCTGGCGCAAGGACAGGGGTTCTCCCGTAGCCACTCAGGGAGTCCAGTCTTTCTGCCAACACTCTGGCCGGAGGGTCAGAGACAGGAAAGGTAAGTCACTGCCATGACAGGAGAAGGGTCACAAAGAGTAGCTGCCCCTGCCCAATTTAAAGACAATGTGGCCCAGAGATGGGCAGTGACTTGCCCAAGGTCACACAGCAGGCAGCTGAGACTGAATGGGGCATCTGGACACCTGACTACACCCCGATTTTCAGTCTGCTCAGAAGGCTCCTGGTAAGCCTGGGGTATTCTGGGAAACAGAACCAGCACCCTCTGGTGGTGACACAGAGCTCCCGGGCACACAGGGACGAGGGCGTTGCCCCGCAGGTGGGGGCGTTTCCACCCTAACTCTTCTCTCAGGGCCTCACACCCAAGGCCCGCACAGGCCGACATACTGGGCAGGGGAAGCGCAGCCGCCGAAAGCTCGGCTCAAGTCCGAGGCGCCAGAGACGGGTCCCCTCCTGCTTCCGCCCTCCCTCCAGCTCTGCCAGGCTACAAACCAGGGACTGCAGCTCTGGGGGCGGGCGGGGGGCCGAGAGGGGGCCCTCACTGGAAGCTCAGCCTCAGGTCTGAGAGGGTGCAGACGGGAACCTGCAAGGAGGAAACGTGAGGAGAAGGCGCGGGGGGCGAAGAGGAGGAGCCGGCAGGGCCTCACGGGTGCCCAGCAGGCTTGGCGGACCCCGAGAAAGCACAGCGGCGCCCCTCCTCGCCCGGCTGTGAGGCAGGAGGCGCCAGAAGGGGCCCAGGAGGCGGCAGGCACAAGGCTCTAGGGTGCGGGGCCAGGGGGCCTGGGTGGAGGGTGTGGGAGGCTGGGACCAGGGCAGCCCCGGGATGGAGGCGTGAGCAGGCAGAGAGAAACCCGGGACAGGCGCAGAGAGGGAAGAGGCAGGGTGTAGATGAGATCCAGGAGGAAGAGGTGGTGGATGAAGGTGAGGCAGGACCTCCAGCGGGAGGAGGAGGCTGCGGCGGTGGTGGGAGGGAGGAAAGGTTAGCGGGATCCCGAGGTGACTGGGCTGCAAAGAGAGAGTGAGAAAGGGATGGTTATGCGGCTCAGGGAGGCAGCAGAAGGCAGGCGGGTGCTGAGCTAACCCTGGTGGCCCGCCCCCCCCAGCAGTCCCAGAGTGGGGGGGTTTCCCAGGTTCTGCAGCTGGCTCCGGCTTTATTAGCAATCATTCTCCTCGGGGGTCGGCTGCACCTTTCTCCTGCGTATCTGCCTCCACCTGCACTTGTTCCACCTCCACCTCCTCCTCCTCCTGCTGCTCTTCCAGAGGCTCCTCCACGCTCTGTACCCGGCCGGCGGACCCAGGGAAGAAAGAGTGGAAACGCCAGGGCTGCGGCCGCTGGCCCCACGGACCCCCTCTCTCGGGGTAGAGCAGGGGGGCAGGCAAGACAAAGGGGGGCCTCCAGGAGAAGCTGTCTCCTGTCCCTGGAGGATGGACCTCTGTGGGGGACACTCCTGGGTAGTGTGTGTGCCTGGGGTATGCTAGAGGGGGACCTGGGAAGGTCTCATTTTTGGAAGAGTGACCGTCCAGATCCGGCACTGCTCAGCAGACACCCCAGAGGCAAAACAGCAGCTCACTCAGCACCTAGTAAGACAGTGCCTGCCCCTGGCACCAAGAGGTGGAGTGAGTGGGCAGGGAGTCACAACAGGGCAGGAGACAGACAGACAGACAGACAGGAAGCCAAGTCCATACACCTCCCTTGCCCAGTGCTGCCCTTCTCTCTGATCCCCTAACCCTACTGGAAGTCCCCTGGCTTCTGGCCAGAGAGCAGGGCCTCTGCCCAGCCCCCTCCACACAGCAGCTGGCAAGGAGGTGGCCTTACAGGCCACAGAAAGGGACACAGTGTCGGATGGGGAGGCCTGGGATGGGGCAGGTTTTCCATGCCGGCAGGGCTCTTCCCTCCACCCCTAGGAAACAAACTGGCCTCAAGGGTTCTCAGAGGTTCCAAGCCAGAAAACCCCACAGGAAATTGTGTGCTCCATCCGCTCACTTCACAGGGAACACAAATCGCCAGAGGGATAGGACTTGCTGAAAGTCACACGGAGAGCAAGCCACACACCCCCGGCCATCAACTGCCTAGCTCTGCACAGTCTCCCTCCTGCCATCTGAGCCCACACTGGACTGTCCCCTCACACGGTCCCCTCGCCTGGGCCCGTGGAGCCTCATGGGATGGGATGACGGCGGCTGTGACCATGGAGGGTTATGGGTGGGCAGCAGAAGGGAGAAAGCAGCAGGGATGGTGAGGGGGGGAGCAGGGAGGGCTGGGGAGGAAGGGGAGGGGCTTCCTGGGACCTGATCCAACTCACCTTGGATTTGCGGCTGGACTCAGAGCTCAGCCCATGGGGGGCGCTATAGAGTTCCTTGGACACCACACACAGGAACTCCGCCTGGTCCTCACTGCCGTAGTTGTAGGAGGAGCCGATGGTCACCAGCTGAGGGGAGGGCCGTGAGGATGGCAGGGAGAGAGGTCAGGGCTAGGGGCACCCATCAGGGTATCAACTTAGGTCCTGGCCTTGCTGTCCTGCTCAGGCCCACCCCACCTGTCTCTCTGTTTCTGTTCCTGGGTCCACCCTCACCACCTGACACTGAGCCAAGGGCCAAGGGTGACAATATCGTCCACCTCAGCCTTCCCTCCCCCACAGTCCACTTCCTAAAAGCAAGTGTTGTGTTAAGTGCCATTGAATTTGTTCTAACTCACAGCAACCCTGTATAGGGTTTCTGAGGAGTGGCCAGTGAGTTCTGAGCCATCAGAGAGACAGGAAGAGGGGCCCTGACTCCCAAGAAGAGATAGGAGCATAGCACATCCTTTGGACCCAGGTCCCCCTGTGAGCCTCCAAGACCCAGGAGAAAGAGAATTGTGACATCAGAGAGTGCTAGACAGAAAGAAGGGGTGGCAGAGAAACGAGAGTCTGAGAGCCAGGAAACCAGTGTTAAGATAGGCAGTGGCCTTCCCAGCCTTTGGAGGGAGCAAGGTGCTTACAGTGGGTATGCAAACCCAAGGAGAGCTGAGGGCCTTTGGGCTGAGGCATTCTGGAGAAGCAGGGTGCCTCTGGGCACATCCTGGCAGAGCTAAAGAGCTTCATAACACTTGCCTGAGCAGGGCAGAGGCTGGCCCAAAGGCCAGAGGGGATGGGCACAGCTGGGAAGAGGTCTTCCGATGGAAGGACTGTTTTCTGAGTTATTCCCAAGCTATAACCTGTGACTTCCCAATACACCCATGGTTGAGTGTGATCTGTGGAACCCAAGAGAGAAGTTGAGAGTGCTGTGGGAGGGACGATGGCATGAGAACCGGTGAGGAGGTTGGAGAATGGGGGCATGTCTGCCACCCACTTCACAGCAATCAGCCTTGGGCAGTTGAAGGTGCTAGAGATTCGCCCCCAAAAGGTGGAATGAGGAAGGGGATCCAGGATCCATGTCCTCGGGGGTCTTGCAGCCTAATAATTTTTACACTAGTCCTGGTGTGGCACTGCTGGATAAGCACTAGATTGCTAAGTGCGAGGTTGGTGGTTCAAATCCAGCAGCCTCTCCTTGGGAATTCTATCCAAGGTTGCTATGAGTCGGAACCAGCCTGACAGCACTTGACAATAACAGCATCTCAAATGAGGCCTCCCGGTATGGCACTATAGGGTAAGCACTGAACTGCTAGCCATAAGATTGGCAGTTCAAAAGCACCCAACTCAATGGCACTTAACAGTAACAACAATCTCAAAAGAAGGAGCCCTAGTGGCCCTGTAGGGCATACAGTTCAATCCCACCAGATTCTCCGAAAGAGAAAGATGCAGCAGGCTGTCTGTTCCCTTAAAGGTTTACAGTCTAGGAAACCTTATACAGAGTCGCTATGAGTCAGAGCCAACTTGAAGGCAGCGGGTGTGGGTTATCTCCAGTGTACTGAGTCCCGCTCTGAGCAGGAATTCTACCAATGACCTTTCCGCTCTTCACAAAGATCCTACAGAGGAGAGGCTGTTAGGAAACTGAGGCCCAGAGGAAAGATGCAGTTGCTCAGTCCCTGAGCCCATCAGTGGCAAGGCCTGGATGAGGAAGCAGACCTCTGACTCTGGGCTGGGCTCATGTGGCCTTCTCCCTTCTTTCATCTCCGCGTGTAAGAGAGCCAGGGCTGGGACTAAAGGCTAGCAAAACCCCCTCCTCTCCAAGGGCACTTCTGCTGGCGGGTGGCCTTTCTGGCTGGTTCTCCCAACAGCGGAGAGCAGTCAGTGGTGAAAACCCCCGACTGGCAGATTGCATCATCGGTTCCTGAAGAGGAACCACATGTCACCCAGATGGGAAGTCACGCTCTGGAGAGCCTGGCCATGGGGCCACTTGGACTGATCATTGTTGACAGTCCTGGACTCTGAGGGAGAAGGGGTCCTATGCCAAGGTGAGAGCCACTCACCTTGCACCTGAGCAGTTACCTGGGAGCCAGAGAAGTGCCCAGGTGGTGGTACAGACCACTACACCGTGGCCGTGAGGACTCGGCAGAGGCCCCCACCTCCTTGCCTTCTCGGTAAATCTGCTGTCACGTATGGCCTGTGACAGCCTTGTGTCATGTGCCTTAAAGCCCCCGGGTCAGGGTTGTCCCCAGCCCACCTGCTCGAAGCGCCAGCCGTCGGACATAGTGGAGACCATCTGCGTGAGTTCCTCCTCCTGGCACTGTAGCACCCGGTACACATGCTTGGGCGGCGCCTGCAGACATGGGCATGTGGAGGGCATCATGGGCATGACAGGCCCCTCAAGTTCTTCTCTCCTCTCTTACCCAACCGCATACCCCGAGAAGGAAAATGGGAAGAGGAGGAGGAGGAGGCAGAGAGGGAAGCGGGGGGCCAGGTTCTGAGAATCTAGGTGCCAGACACTCGACATCCCTGGTCTCATTCGATCTCTTCAGGAACCCTAGAAGTCCAGGATTCCCTCTGAGGCTCAGAGAAGTTCAGATGTTTGCCCAAAGTCACCCAGCTAGGAGGTGGAAGAGCCAGAACTTGAAGTCAGGTGACACTTGATGGAAGGCATGAAGGGCCGTGGGGGCCATTCCAGGTCAAACCCTCCTGAAGCCACACGTGCCACCCTTCAATGTTGGGAGGTGGTGGCTCAGCACCCATCTCGTGCATTGCCCCAAGCACAGGCAAAGAACCTCAAATCCCAACCTCGGCCTGCAGACTGATGACTGAATAGGGGACTACCTGACCCCACAATTTTGTGTAGGAAGCAGGGAGGAGTGGATAGTGCTCAGCACCGCTATATTCCACAGGGGAAACCACGTCCAGAGATGGGTATGACTGGTTCAAGGCCACAAAGCAAGTGGTGCTGATGCAGGGACAGAACCCAGACATCCGCCAGCCTTCCCCTCACAGGCCAGCTGAGCCTGCCCATAAGCAACACCAGTCCTGCCTCCCCGAGCCTTTCTCCAGCTTCCCTCCCCTCTGACCTCAGTCTCCCCTGGCCCCAGATGCTGCCTGCGCTCCCCACCTGTGTGACGGTGTAGTCCTTCTCCTCCATCCGGTCTTTGATGATGCGGATCAGGGGGCCGATGTTGTAGAACTCAGCTTCCTCCAGGACCCCTGACGTGGACAGAGCAGTGTCTTCAGGACAGAGCAGTGTACTCTCATCTGCCCCATTCTGTCCCCATCCTTCCTCCTACTCCAGTAGACGAGCAGAACATCTGGGAGCTCAGAGGTCCAACAAGAGGAAATATTTCCTTCCCGGCATCCCACACACCCCCACTGCCTAGCTCCATGTTTCCTCAACCTTGCTGAGCACAGAGGTTCAGGGCTACTGACCAGTCCACCAAGCAAGAGAGAGCAGGCTGGTGGGGCCTGAGTCCTGGAATGCCACGGTGAGAGGGCTTTGGTGGCCATACCCTGTTAACCACATATTCAGCACCACCTCGAAGACCTGACCCAAACCAGGGTACTCTCAACCACCACATACGCACACAAAAGCTGGGCAAAGATGAAGGAAGGCCAGAGAAGAATCGATGCCTTTGAATTATGATACCAGTGGAGAATACTAAATATACCATGGAACACACAAATCTGTTTGGGAAGAAGTACAGCCAGAATGCTCCTTAGAAGCCAGGCTAGTGAGACTTCAACCTATATACTTTACACATGTTACTGGGAGGAACCAGGCCCTGGAGAAGGACATCAGGCTTGGTAAAATCGAGGGTCAGTGAAAGAGAAGCCCCTCACGAGATGGACTCGGACACAGCAAGGACTGAGGATGGTGCAAGACTGGGCAGTGCTTCATGTATTGCACGCGGAGTACACAGTTTCAACTGTGAGTGGGGACCAACTCAAAGGCACCTAACATGTTCCAAACCAAGCCCCTGGGTGGTGCAAATAGTTCATATACTCAGCTGCTAATCTGAAGATTGCAAGTTTGAGTCCACCCAGAGGCACCTTGGAAGAAAGGCATGGTTATCCCCTGGAATCCCTACGGAGCAAAGTTTCACTCTGCCATTCACGTCGTCATCCTGAATCGGAATCGGCTCAGTGGCAACCAGGAAGTAGCAGCTACTGTGCTAGGCACATTTGTTACTGAATTGCCAGCCCTGTGAAGTCAGTGTTTTCATTATCTTCACTTAACAAATGAGGCTCAGCAAGGGACGTTGCTGGTCCAGGGCCATACAGCCAGGCAGCAGTAGAGCAGGGCTCCAAACTCAAACTCCTCTAGCTCCAGAGCCCACATTTCCTCACTCGAAATGCATGGTCAGCTCCCTGACCCAGGACCACAGTTGACAGGGTTCCCTCCCACCTGCTGTCGTGTTTGCTCATCACGTGCCGTAGAGCATCACTGTCCCATTGTACAGTGAGGGAAGCCAAGGGACCAAGAGGCCACCTGGCCAGTGGAGGGCAACGAGCCCCAAGCCTTGCCCTCCCCTGAGCTCCTCCAGGGTAGGGACTCTTCTGGTCCTTTCCTGGACTGGCCTCTGGGCTCCCCATGTTCCACCCATCCTGCAGTGCCCAGAGCCTGCATGGAACCTCACACAGACAGGCAGTCTGGGAGTGGCACTGCCCAGTGACCAATTTCTCCCCAGTGTCCTATGTGGCCCTGGCAGACAACAGCAATCACTGTACCAGGTGGTGCTAGGACCATGCCAAGGGCTGCACTGCGGTCACTGAGTTTTAGCCTCACCGAAGCTCAGTGAGGTGGGGGCTGTTACTCTGCCCAGACAGGGGAAGTAACCTGCCCCATGACACCCAGCATAAGGCTACACCCAGGTCTCCAGGGGGCCATCATGGTCTGAAAGATGCTGGGAGGGAGGAGCTGGGGTTTGAGAAACCCAGAACCTGTAAACAGGTGTTGGCTGTGACGCATTATAAGCCCTCCCTGTGGGACCTGCTCCAGGGCCAGGCCACACCCACAGGATCTGAGCTCCCCTGAGGCTGCAAGAGCTGTGGGCTCTAATGTGAAGCCCGGACCCCCGGGGAACTTGCTGGGCCTCCCATCCACGGTATCCATGGGGATCCCAAGCCTAGACCATGTACCAGATAGGGAGGGTCCGGCTGTACGAGGCTCCCACACAGTAAGTGTGAGCCGGGCCTTCCAGGCGTTTCCGAAACAAGCTTCACCACCCCGATTTGAAATGCATGAGAAGTGGAGACTCAAGGAGATATATGACAAGACCAAGCTGGTCCAGCCAAGTCAGCTGACCCATGCAGGGACACACCCTGTGTCCTAAGAAAGAGTTGACTTGGCATCAGATGGTAGCAGTTCCTATCCCTAGCTGGGGCTCTGCCTGGAAGTCATTCTACCAGCCTAAGCTACCCTGGTTGCTGGGCCCAGGAATGGGTATCCACAGGGCCTTCCACCGGAGAACAGCCTCCCCTTCCACCCACACCAGGACTGTGCTACAGAGCTGTCATATCTGGGGGAGAGCCACCCACCTCCCACCGCTGACTGCCAGACTCACAAGCATCTGAAATCCTGGAGCCCCCCAAAGGAAGAGACTACTACTGCTCCTGGTGCCTCTTCCTGAACCCTGGTCTCTGAGTGTGACCATCTACACCTGACTTCCCAGGGAGGAAGGAGGAAGGGAGACCCTTCTACTCTCCCTGAGCACCTCCATCACCTCCCCAACAGCACCCAGCCACAGCTCGGGGTCTGTCAGAATGGAGAGAAGAGGTGGGAGCCACCAAAGAAAGCCAGCTGTGAGAAATGGTTTCAGGTCTTCATGGGCAATGCAGGCAGGTTTCTGGGGGGCAGCCCCCTGACCCAGCTCACCCTCCTCAGCCATGTCCTTGTCCAGCACCAGCTTGCCATGTCGGAGGAAGTTCAGGATGGGTCCAAAGTAGGTGGGGTCTCGGTCAATGAGGTAGGCCCCAGTTTCATCCTACAGAGGTGAGGGGTGCAGACAATGAGAATAGAGTAGGGCCTCCCAGCCTGCTCAGCCCAGTACACACACCCTTCCCTGGTTTCATACTTCAGTGTACTGAGGGAAGGGAAGTCTGCACTGCAGGAGGGGGTGGGGGGCGGGCAGCATGAGGACTAGAAAGGCGCTTTGGGGTCACATGGACCTAGGTTCGAATTCTGTTTCTGCCTTTGCCCAAATGTGGGACCTTAGGCACATGATGTGACCTCCTCTCCCCACACTTCTCCCCTGTCACCAAGGATCACTGTGAGCACTCGTGGATGAGGTCTAGGTGGTCCATATGAACCGTTGCAGTAACGGATGTCTCCATCGCTCCCCAGTCATCCAGCGAGTGTTTACAAGTTTCCAAAGGCGCCACCAGCTCATTGGACACTCAGCCTGCAGGGAGGCAGGGCGGGCACCCAGGGCTTAACTCTATAGAGAAAACTGAGGTGAGGGGACTCCTCCAAGGTCACTGCGCTCCAGGGTCCAGGGATGATGGGATGACCTTAGAGGTCATTTCCAGGCCAGCCCCCTGGGAGGACAGACCAGGAGGCTGAGCCCAGAATGTGGAGAGGGAAGGTCCCACCCAAGGTCACATAAACAGCTTGCAGCAGGATGGAAGCCCAGAATCCATGCCGCGGGCACTGGGGACTCCTCCACCCTGCTCACCGCACCCAAAGGGGACCCAAGTGCCTAATCAACCGCTCCCCCAACGCAGCAGTCCATTTGGTAGGACGGTCCCATGGTGTTCCTCCATCCCCACAGACCCAAGAGAGAGAGAGTCCCGCATCCACCAGTCGGCACCTACACCCGGGGGTGAGGGGCGCCCTGGGTCAGCCTCCAAGTCTCCAAATGGCCGTGGGCCTCGCGTTGTCCCGTTACCACGGTAATAGGCACAACCCTCTCGATCCACTTCCTCCCCCCTCCTTCCAGGTCTTCCCGCCTCCGGCCCTTGGGAGAGAGAGGCAGCCGCGTTCCCAGCCCGGTGGGCTGGCCTGTCAGCCAGCGCGTTTCCGGGGAGCCGCGGACCCCGCCGGGCCGCCCCCAGCCCGCGGCCTCACCCGGTCCGATTGCAGCTCCTCGCCCTGGCACAGGCGGCTTAGGAAGGATTTCTGCTCCCGGCACAACGTCTGCCGCGTGGTCAGGAATACGGTGCCCCCCACGTTGAGCCGCACCCACTTGCCCCAGCCACCCACCGCGCGGCCGCCCACCCCCGCCGGCGGCGCTGCCTCCCCTGCCTCCATCCTCATCGCCCGCCGCGGCGTCTGCAGCCCCGGCGCCCGGCGGCAGGAGGCGGACGGGGGCAGCGCCGGGCATGCTGGGAATTGTAGTTCGCACTGCCCCCACGCCGGCGGGGCCAGGGCTCCAATCTGCCACCCCCTAGCGCCTTTGACCTTCCAGGGAGGCCACCAACGGGAGCTGCTCGCCGTGTGTTTGGGATAGGTCAGGTTTCCTTTACCAGCCCCAGGAAAGATAATGATACCTCAATTCAGGTGTCTTCCCATCTGGTAGCTCTGCCTTATTGTTTTTCCTTTGTCCCACTGGGGTTATCAAATAGTTTATGGAGGATGAAACTCCCCTCTCCTGCGATTTCCATAGCCTTCACTTGTCTTTTCTAAACAGGCAATTCCCGGATTATGAATACTTCCCATACCTAAATCTATCTTTAAGTCTAATTTGTACATAAGGAACGATTAGTTATGGTTTAAATCTAATGTCAATCAAATGTCTGCCTTAGTATATAGTATATGTTGTTGTTGATAAGTGCTATCGAGTCGATTCCAACCCATAGGGACCCTGTATAGGGTTTCCAAGGAGCAGCTGATGAGCTTGAACCACCGACCTTGCAGTTCAAACAAGTTTGCAGTCTGACACATTAGCCTACAGCGCCACACTAGGACTATAACATATAGTGTATCTTTTTCTGCATAAAAATTTAAAGGAACACTTCCAGACACATCTTTAACAGCAATGATAATGTTTATCAAAACATCACAGAGTAGTGCCCATTTGATATTGAGTATTCCTCAGATTTGCAATGTAATAGGTTTTATGGGTTGGTAAGGAGCTCTGCTAGCATAACAGTTATGAATCAGACTGATAACTTCAGCAGTTCGAAACTACCAACTATTCCGCAGAAGGAAGATGAGGCTTTCTGCTCCTGTAAAGACTTACAGCCTTGGGAACCTTCTACAGGGTCACTATGAGTTGGAACTGACCAGGTGGCACACCATTACCACCACCACCATGAGTTGGTAACTATCAGTTGGGTGCACATAAATCAGATACAACCCAGGATATTCTAATCTGTGTGTGTGTGTGTGTGTGTATGTAAAAGGACCCTGGGTGTACCAAAACTATTTGTACTGACTAAAAAAAGGTTCTTTCCATGGAAAAAACGCATTGTCATTGAGTGGATTTGAACTCATAGCTGGTAACACTATTGGACAGAATAGAACTGCCTCATGGGATTTCCAAGTTTGTAAGTCTTTGTGGACACAGACAATTACATCTTTCACCTTCTGAGCAGCTGATGGATTTGAATCACCAACCCTTCAATTTGCAGTGAAGCACTTCACCACTGCACAACCAGGGCTCCTTTCATTATGGAAGAAAGGTCTGGCAATCCACTTCTGTAAAGATTAAAGTGAAGAAAACCCTATGGTGTTCAGCTCTAACTGTAACATGAGATCATATCGATTGGAAATGATGCCACAGAAGAGGGTTTGGTTTGCATATGTGTGTGTGTGTGGTGGCGGCATTCTTTGGGAACCAAAGTTGGACTTAGGTTGGCTGAACCCTGTTCTGGATGCTTTGCATACACATATTATTGTGTGGCCCATATTATTCTCTTACAGCCTGTAAGCTGGGTATCACTGTACCCATTTTACAGATGAGGACACAGAAGTGAAGTGACAGCTGGTGAGTGGCAGACCTCCCTCCACAAACCCAGGTGGGTCTTGACTACAGAGGACTGAGCTTCCACCACCAAAATCTCCTGCTGGTTCCCCCATCATGGGTTGTCAACTCTTCTGGGAAAGATTTCTGGGGAGGAAGAGAGAGCACTGGAACAAAGTCTGGATTTGCATTCTGGCTTTTGTAGGATGAGGTCGTGAGACAGTTCTCAGCTTTTCTATCTGTAAACTGGGACGTGGGATGAGCCCGATAGCTTGGAAATGGGGCTGACATCATGAAAACTACAGAATGAGGGGAGGGGAGAGGCCAGTGCTCATGTGATCAAAGACCAAGGAGGAACAAAGACTGAAACAACACCCCTTGTTGTTTCAATCTGAGGCCTGATTTTACAGGGAGGGGCCACACCCACGCCCTACAACCCCACACTTCGTCCCTCCCAGACGAGGTTAGGGCAACCTGATCTTGTGTAGAGGGAAGATTCCCCCAGGAATTGCCCAAGGCCCTGCTTCCCCCTTGGCAGCAAGTAAGTCAGGGACCTGTTTAGGATAGAATACTGCTTCTGAGAATTCACTAGCCTTGTAAACTTAAGCAATTTCTTCTCTGAGCTTCAGTTTTCTTTTGCAAAATGGGAATTAGAATTGTTGTTACCCCAGAGCACTGTGGGAAAGATTAAATTATGTCTATAAAAGACCTGACACAGTCCCAGGCATTTGGTACACTGAATGAATGAATGAATGAATGAATGAATGAATGAATGAATGAATGAACTATTTAACGTGATGGGATATGCAGGATTAGCATCAACCCTTGTACTTCAGGTTCTGTCATTATTAACCCTGCTTGCTGGTAACACTGTCCCCTTTCTGGGAAGGGTAGCCTCAGCACTTTTTAAAATATGGCTGCTCCTTAAGATTCATTGCCCAATAGTCAGGGATGAATCAACCCTGTTTGCTCTTCCCAGCAGAGAGAAAGGCCACCACAATGTCCCAGGTCTCAGAGCAAAGCAGCTTGCACTTTCTTTTCACTAAACTCCCGTGAACTGAAGTGGCCCAGCGTCTCTCAGTCAGCTACCAGATGGAGGCACATAGAACACAGCCTGAAGTCCTCACCTGAACAGCACCATGTCCTGTTTTGAACTTTCTGTCTTCTCAGCATCCCCCACATCTGAGTGGCTTGCTTCACATCCTCTGCCAGCACCCTGACGAAGATGCCATTCATCCCAGCTGGGATTTTTGGATTCAGTCTTCCTCTCCCTCAAGTTCAGAATGTCAGAACATTCTGATTTGTCTCTGATTTCTTCACAACAAATCCAATCTTAGCACTGCCTGGGTGCAAGTTCTGCCGCTCTTCCTGGGGGAGGGCAGTGGGGGTGGATTTTGAATCTGCACCTTTCTTGAGAATCAGGCACATCCAACCAGTTATCCTGACTGGCCAGAATGAGCCCCAGGGTCCAGGGTTTGGACCTTTATTTCTTCACTCCCTGGCTGTGGGCACCTGGTTAGTTATTTCATTATCTTCAAACCTCACTTTTTTGCAATATTTGCAGTATAATGTTTGTAATACTTACATAGTAATATTATCATAGGGAAATAATGTTTGTAATACTTACATAGTAATATTATTACAGGAATCCCTGGGTGAGGCAAACAATTAAAGCACTCAGCTGCCCACCAGAAGATAGGTGGTTTAAGAGTAGAACTGTGCTCCGTAGAGGTTTCAAGAACTGATTTTTCAAAAGTAGATGGCCAGGCCTTTTTTCCCCCCGAGATGTCTCTAGATTGACTCCAATCTCCAGTCTTTAAGCAACGAAGTAAACACGCTATGGATTCCATTCTAGCTCAAGGAAGCACTTTTACTATTCCCATTTTCCAGATGGGGCACAGGCTTAAATATTCATAAGATAAACAATTATGCTGCCATACTGTCACCTAAAAATTCCTCCAGTTGTCAACATTCACCAAGCCTGCCCCAATTGCTGACCTTTAGACTTTTGGAAATGAGATCCAATCCTCCCCCCTTGAAGGCACATGGATCTTAAATGCAGGCACAGTGATCTCAAACGCAGTGGGCGAGGAAGAGCTGCAGAACTCTACGGGGCGCCATTCACGTTAAGAATGGCAGTCAAGCGTCTGGAAAGCAGGGGCGCCTATCAGTAATTTTCACATAAATGTACTTGGAGCTGTCAGTGATGCTGTCCCAGCCCTTGTCCTGGATGGACCGCCTCATCCTGGGCGCCGCTTTCTTCAACCAGTCAGGTAAGTAAAGCTCCCTCATAAAGCTAGTTCTGCCCACGCAGTGAGTGTGACCAAAAATCCCGCCTCACCAGAAGGGGGCGCCCCAATCCGCCCAGGTGCCATGCCTTCTAGAAGCTCAACTTTTGGGGACTGCAGCAGGACAGTCCACCTGACTCAACAACCAGCTCAGGGATCCTCCTCTCTACCCCATTCGTCTCTCTGGTTCCTGTGAATATAATTACCAAGAAATTGATCACCCAGAACCAAGAATCCCACTGCCTGAGGAATATTTATGAGAACTCCCCTGCGCTGGGCAGTGTGCCAAAGCACTTTCATTAATTACTTCTTTTAATTCTAATGCAACTGGGAAATGCGACTGTAATTACCACTTTAAGGAGGAGAAACGGGAGGGGGGTACTGTACCTAGTTTTGAACTCCCACCTTCTCTAGTTCTTTTCATTCCCAACCCCCTGTGGCTCGTCCTTAGCATGGAGATGGGAGCTGGAGTGAAGAGTCCCCTTGTTTACACCACTGTCTGCCATTGTGGCTTTGCTCTGGCTGGAGCTCATGACTGTTGTTTGGGGAGTGGTTTGGAGCCCCTATTGTTGCTCAGAGTCCTGGTGTGCGCTGGACTACAAAGTCACTTTGAACCTCAAGGTCGGCAGTTCAAGCTCACCAGCCACTTCTCAGAAACCCTATACAGGGTCTCTATGAGTCGCTACTGACTGGACAGCACTTAACAATTGTTGACACACATTACAGTTCCCTTCTTGGGCAGTGCCTCGAGCATCGCTCAGATAGGGTCCCTGCCCAGTTCTTGGCCCCACCCCCTGAACACTCATTCGTGAAGCCCCTCAAGGACAACTCCAAGCCAACTCGCAACGCCAAGGTCCTCAGCTAGTCCTGGGGCCTCCAGGCATGTAAGCATTCCCCCAACAAGGCTTCCCCAAGCATCTTCTGACTTGACCACACAGCAGCGGTCAGGCTTTTCCAGCTCTAGGTCTTCCAGAGTTTAGGAAGCGTTGTCAAGCTCTGCAGATGGCCTCCTGGAAGCTTCTTCCACTAGGCCAGTTGTGAGAGGTGGCACCCTCACCAGGGCAGGATATGTAAAGTGCCT